TCTGGATGTGTACATGAATTCAAGTAAATGAAAATGTAGATATAATTTCTCCTACTTCTCAACGGGACAGCATTCCTATTGCCAATGAGCTTTCATCTTTCTTCTGGGGCTGCCAAGTCGCAATCTATAAAAAATGTGCGGGCAACTTTTAGAAAATGTTCATAGCAATAAAAGAATGTTCATGCGCTTCCGAAATAAGTTCGTGGCATTTTGGGAAATGGTCATAAAATGCAAAAAATATTTGTGTAGTCTTAAATAAGGTTTCATAACACTCAAAAAACAATTATGCGACATTTTTAAAAAAGTTGAAGCATTTAAAAAATATCTCCATAATATTTTTGATTTTTCTAACATATACTTGAAAAATATATTCTACATGTATAAATAATGTTCCACTCGTATAGGAAAAATATACAATATGTATTGAAAAAATAGAATAAATAATAAAAGTAGATATAAAAACCAAGGGAACAACATAAGTAAACCAATGAAGAAACATAGGCCCACAGGCACGACCTATTAGCATCCAGGCCCAGCAGGACATGTCTCATTGCAAACCAAGAGTCTCCTCAACCACCTAAAAAAACCAAGAGCCTCCTCAATGGCTCGACGTGTAGAGCTGCCTAGTAAGAGAAGAAAAAGTGGGAGCTCTGGTATCTAGGACCTCCTATTTGACACTCTTTCCACGACCCATGAGCAAGACGTATGTGCACTGTAGCGAACAGGGATCGAGCATTGTAGCGAATAGGGGACCCGCACTTCAACAACTAGGGCTTTTGTAGCGAACTGAATCGCTGTAGCAAACAAATTTTCTAAAACTGAATATCTTTTCCAAATTACAAAAAAAATATTTTTTTAAACGCATACAATGACTAAATGTGTGATATTTTTGAAAATGTGAACATTTCTCCAAATCGGATTAAAAAAACATTTTCAAATTTGCAATCATTTTGTGAAAACACGAACATGTTTACAAATTTTGAAATTTCTTTAAATAATGATTTTTTTCCTAATTTCAGAACTTTTTTTGGAAGCATGAACTTTTTTTTGAAAGCCGAACCATTTTTCTGTAATTTAAAAGTTTTCCGAAAATGCGAACCTTTTCCTAGATAAGATTTTCTGAACATGGATATTTTTTAGATTTTTGATGTTTTTCTGAAACACAAACATTTATAAAATTTGCTAACAATTTTTTAAAGTACAAAATTTTCTATAATGAGTGGAATGAAAAACTTAAATAGAAATGAAAATAAATAGAAAAATTAAAAACCCAAAAATTCAGCGAAGAAAATAGCAGATAATAGGACTTTTTACTTTTGTTTAAATTTTGAAAAATATATAAAGGCATTCCCACTAAAAAGTATTAAAAAATATATTATATATTTGAAAATCAATTTACTTAAAACAAGTCATCACACATTTCAAAATACCCCAAATTGGATCGAGACCAGTATCAAAGGCGCGGGTAGATCTCTCTGGGAGAGAGATCTATTTATGTGTGCATGCATACATGATTTCAAGTGAATGAAAATGTAGATATATTTTCTCGTACTTCTGTAACATAGCCTCTCTATGGGACAACATTCCTATTGCCAATGAGATGGTTCTGAACTTTCACCTTCTTCTGGTGGTGCTGCCAAGTCGCAATGTATAAAAAATGTTTGCACAACTTTTAAAAATATTTATGGCAATAAAAAAGTATTCACGTGCTTCAAAAACATGTTCATAGCATTTTTGAAAAATGATTATACAACTAAAAAATATTCTTGTATTATTGATAAAACGTTTCTTAATATTCACAAAACAATTATGGGTCATTTAAAATAATGGTAACTCATTTAAAAATATGTCCATAATTTTTTGTATTTTTCTAACATATACTTGAAAAAAAATATTCAACATGTATAAAAAAATGTTCCACGAGTATAGCAAAAATGTACAATGTGTATTGAAAAAAATAGAAAATAATAATTAAAACTAAAATTAAAACCAAGGAAACCAGAAGTAAAGCGATGAAGAAACACGGAAAAATTGGCAAAACAAACCATAGAAATGACTGAAAACCAAAAAGAAAAAATCTGAAGAAATAGAAGTAAATAGGAGGAAATAACAAGCAGACAAAACCAAATGAAAACTACCGAAGACCAATAGAATAACACAAAGGTTCTAAACCCGTTTC